TGTTTTCATAATTGAGAAAATAAAATCAAAAAGAAAAAACCCTAAACAGTCCCTAAACAACAAACAAAAATAACAAACACAAACAACATTAAAATGCTAAACAATTAAACGTAAATAATACTTCTCCCCCTTTTGACAACAACAAAAAAAAGGGAAAATAAATGTTGAAATGGAAGAAGTCATATGAGAATCCTTAATAATTGATCTTGAAAGAGATTAAACAGTAATTGTAATAACATGATTAACATCCAACCACAATAATAACAACATCAAGCCTTTATCCCACTACATGGGGTCAGCTACATGAATCCTTTTTCTCCATTGTGTCCTATTAAAGGTCAAATTCTCATTTAAATCTAATAAAGAAAGGTCATTCCTAATATTTTCTAACCAAGTCTTTTAGGTCTACCTTTACCTTTCTTAACATAAGTCAAATCTAATACCTCCACTCTCCTAACCGGGTCATTGGAAGGCTGTCGTTTTATGTGACCAAACCATTTAAAGAGACTCTCTATAATCTTATCTTCTACTGGAGATACTCTAACCTTTTCACGTATATGCTCATTTCATATCATATATCTAAGGTTAAAGCCACTCATCCACCTGAGAATCCTCATCTCTGCAACACTTAACTTAATATTATGTTTCTCTTTTAATGGCCAACATTCAGCACCATAAAGCATTGCAGACCTCACTACCATCTTATAGAATTTTTCCTTAAGTTTAAGGGGTACTTTCCTATCACACAATAAACCCGATGCATTCCTCCACTTTAACCATCCAACTTGAATTTTGCTGATAATATCCCCATCTATTTCACCATCACTCTGAACAATAGATCCAAGAATCTAAAACATGTACTCTTATTAATGACTTTACCATCACTAGGTCTATTACTACTAAAATTACACTAAATATATTCCATTTTAGATCTACTCAAGCAAAAAACTTTAGAATCTAATGTTGACCTCCATAATTCAAGTTTACTTTCAACTCCATCTCTAGTCTTATCAACAAGAAGAATATGATCAGCAAAAAGCATACACCAACTTACATCCTCTTGCAAATGTCTAGTGAGAATATCCATAACTAAAGAAAAAAGATATGGGATTAAGCCTGATACTTGATGTAACCCAATAGGAATAGGGAAATACTTGGTCAAACCACCTTGTGTTTGAACACAAGTAATCGCTCCTGCATACATATCTTTAATGCTTTGAATATAAGCATTATTAACTCCTTTCTTTTCAATAACTCTCCATAGCACTTCTCTTGGAACTTTATTATATGCTTTTTCTAAATCAATAAACATCATATGTAGATCCTCATTTTCTCTATATTTCTCCATCAAACCTGTTAATAAATGTATGGCTTCCATATTCGACCTACTCGGCATGAATCCAAATTGATTTTGAGAAACATTAGTTTCATGCCGCAACCTATGCTCCATAACTCGCTCCCATAGTTTTAAAGTATGACACATTAACTTAATTCCTCTATAATTCACACAATCTTGTGCATGACCTTTAATCTTAAAAATAGTAATTAACAGACTCATTCTCCACTCATATGGCATCTTTTTAGTCTTCAAAATAGTATTAAAAAGTTTAGTAAGCCAAGAAATACCTTCATCTCCTAAGCATTTTCACACCTCTATTGGAATATCATCAGGTCCAATAGCTTTTCCATCCTTCATTTTTTTAAAGCCTCTCTAAGTTTGATTTTACTAATACATCGATAAAAACAAAAATCTTTATTTTCATTTAGGGTGCTAAGGTCACTATAGTCAATCTTATTTTCATAATTTTCATTAAAAAGTTTAGCAAAATATCTCATCCACCTTTGTTGAATATCATCTTCTAAGAAAAGTATTTTTTGATCTTCATCCATAATACACTTCACTTGAACTAAATCCTTACTACTTCTATCTCTTTTGTTGGCTAACTTATACATATACCTTTCTCCCTCCTTAGTATTGAATATATTATATAAAACACTAAAAGCTAAGGTCTTTGCATCGTATATTATTTTCTTAGATTCCTTACGAGCCTCTTTATATCGTTCGCAATTACCAAAATTTTTAAAATTAAACCAATTTTTATAAAAAATCTTCTTATTCTTAATCTTTTCTTGTACATTTGGATTCCATCACGAACTATTTTTACTATTAGGAGCTTTTCTATTTGATACTCCAAGCACATCTTTTATAATATTCTAGACAAAAATAAAGATTCAAAAAGATTTAAATTAAAATATGACATAGACAAAAAAAAATAGATTAAGGTAAGAATTATTACAAAAGTCACGAAATGAAAATTAGTTAAATTCAATTTTCAATACAAAATATAATTGAATATTAGATTGATTTGAATTTGAAGATTAAACGATAGAGGAAAGAATATATTCAATTGGCGACATTGAGCATCTTTTTAAATTATTTGTGGCACACTTTATGCATTTTTTTTGTATTTGTGATAATTTTGTGCCTCTTCTCAATTTGTGAACCATTATTCATTCTTTCAATTTTTGTACACTTGTACATTTCTTTTTGATATTCCCCTCCTTTTTTTTAAATTGATCTTTCTAAAATAAATAATCTATTAACTCAAATTTAGCTAATTACAAAGATAATTATATTGAAAAGAGAAATAAAAAATAACAAGACATCAAAATTGCAATAATAATATTTAAATTATTTATGCCTAAAAATGAACATGAGATTGATAACCTTAACTTGATTGAGTTATAAATTAACTTAAATTTTTGAAAAATTAGATTTTATAATAAAATTAATTTTTGTATTGTAGTTTTAATTTATAATACTTTTTAGATCAAATAAGACAAGATTAACATATAGGCAAACTTACATTTCACACAACGAATAAAAGCAACTAATGAAAACATGACACAAAGAAAAAAACCCTTGTTCTAGTAAGAGAAACACCAGGTTCTTAGGGAGAGAAAAGAATAACATATTTTTGAATTCTGTTGATCCCGCAATTTGCTCTCCGCTCCAATGACGGTGGAGGGCCGCTGGCCACCATCCTCCGACGCTGGAGAACGTCGTTCCTCTTCGATTCCTCCAGTAAGAATCCTTTCTCGCAAGAATCATAGCTCATCTCCCCCAGCCATCGCAGATGATGATAAGGTATTCGATCGTGAATCTATATTGAGGTTTAAATATGCTAAACCTCTAGTAATAAATGAGGGAGGGTACCTTTCTCCTTAGAAAAATACGGAATGTGTTGACAAAGGGAAGAAGATCATGCTGGAAGAGAAGATTGCTCAGAATAATAACTTCAGTTTTATTTTTAATAAGATTGGTACTGGTTCAAATTAAGAAATGCTGGCGGAAGGAAGATTCGATTCAACAAAGGGTTCTTCATCACGGTGTAAGAAGGATGTGGTAACGAAGAATAATCCAGTGGTCGAAGGAGTCGATCCAGATTTGGCTGAGCAAATAAATTGAGAGGTTACTCGTGAAGAACCTGTAGTCAAGGAGGGACTGGAGTATGTTCGAGTTTGGGATTCTGCAACTTTGGGGAACTGTATATTTGACGGAAGGGCTGGAGTAGTTTTTCCACCTCAAACTGACAAATCCATAAATAATGCCTGGAATATGAAACCAAATTTTAGAAGCATTGATTTTGATTTTGGTGAAAATTTCCTGTAGAATGGCGTGGTGAAATTAAATCATCAAAATGAGGCAGACAACACTTCTAAATTACAGAAGTCCTTGGTTGTTAAGGTGCTGGGGAATGCAACCTATCATATTATCAGGCAGGAGTTAAGGAGGCAGTGGAATCAGTATGGCATATTTCATATGACTCTTCTTGGAGGAGGATGGGTGTTATGTGCATTTGAAGAAGCTGAAGCTATGGAAGCAGTTTTAAACAGTGGTCCTTGGTATGTTAACAGAAGCATTGTTGGTTTAGATAAATGTTACCCAAGTTTTGATCCCTCATCCATGAAAGGATTGACAGCCCCGGTTATGTTCAGGCTTCCCAACCTCCAATTGCAAAGTTGGGATAGAATTAATGTGTGTAGCATCTATGGTTGGTAAACCATTCTTGATAGTTGAAAACATGTTTCAGTGGGGGAGGCAAGAATTTGCTAGGGTCTGTGTCCGGATCAAACTGGAAGATAAACTTCAACAGGGAGTTTGGGTTGAAGGTGCTTTGGGGAAATTTTACCAAAAAATCAGTTATGAGAGGATACCAAACATCTATTTCAAATGCGGGAAAATTGGTCATGTGGAGAAATTTTGTGCAGATATAAGTGTAGAGACTTTTGCTAGTCTCGGTGGTTCAAAATTGGTTTTTGAGGAAGGCAAATTAACAGGACCAAAGGTGAATTCAAAACAAATGGAGGTAAACCATTCTAAGACCAAAGAAAATGGCTATGGGCCATGGATTTATGTTGATTATGGAAGAAAGAAAAACAAGGTTAGTAATTTTAAAAACCAATGGAAGAGGATTCCTACCTCTGGTAAGAAATCTTTCAATTCTGTAGTTGAAAGAAATGAGGACCAGGGTGGAGCCATTGAGAGCTCTATTCAACTGAATGTAGAGCATCAGATTGCTGAGAAGACAATTGAAAAAGTGAAGGATCCGGAGATAGCTGAGGACTTTGCAGTAAACAGAAAAGGCTACAAAGTTGGCAAGGGAGGTGATCTTGAAGAAATTCATTACAATTCCAATCAGTATGAAGTTTTAAACAATTTGGGGGAGGAAGGAGAAATAATAGGTGAAGTTGAAGAAATTGTTGTTGAAGAGAGGAATTCTGCTTTGGCTCCAGCTGGAATTAACAAAGTAGAATCAACTTCATTTGAGTCCGTGGAAGATAAAATAAGTATACAGGTGGATGGATCTAGTAAATTAAGAAGAAAAGGTGCTAAAAAACTCAGGGGACTTGGTCCCATCAAACCTGTTCCATGAAATAGAAAAATGTAAGGATAAGTGAAAGAAAGGGCGGGGAACCTCTTTCCCTCAGATCATTAAATGACATCTATTAGTTTTTGGAATTGTAGGGGAGCAAGAAAAAGTAAAGCTTCCCTATGTCCAAGGGAGTTCATCAGAGATCATGGTGAATTCTTTCTTGGATTGATAGAGACTAAGTTGACAATTATTGATAGCAAGCTTATTAAGGTGATGTTCGTTGAAGGTTGGGATTTCTTTTATGTTCCTTCTAAAGGCCTATCGGGAGGTATTTTGTTGATATGGAAACAAGGGATGGCTTCATACAAAGTGGTGGAAGCATCAACACAGTTTGTGGTTGGTGACCTTGATGTTCTCAACAAAGGTACTTGGAGAGTAGCAACTATATACGGGAGTAAAGATGTGTATAAAAGAAGGCTGCTTTGGGACGGTATAGATCATCTCATGGTTAAAGATATTCCTATGATTATAGGAGGAGATTTCAATTGCTTGTTGTCTAAGGAGGAAAAGAAAGGAGGAAGGAAGTTTTTTTTTAGTATGGGGACTAAGGAGATGAAGTCTTTTATCTCTTGTAATGATTTGCATGAGGTTTCTTGTGTTGGTCCCAAGTTCACTTGGTGTAATAACAAGAAAGGAGCTGAAAGGATCTTGGAAAAGTTAGATAGATGACTTGTTAATTCAGCTGCTTTTAACTCTGCTCATAGATTAATGGAAAGGCATCTGGGAAGGATTGCCTCGGACCATAGTCCGATCTTACTGAACTTGCTGAATTTCAGTTCTTCAGCCAGGAAAGTTATTAGATTCAAAGAGGTTTGGACTTCAATTCTATCTTCTACAGCTATTGTGAGAGAATCTTGGAGAAGGAAAGCACAAGGAGATCCCGCTCAAGTATTAAACCAAAAAATGAAAAGAACCTTAAGGAATCTTCACTATTGGAGTAAAGCTAAGTTTAAAGAGCTTAGTGTTTCTAAAGAAGAGCTAAAAGAAGATATTATGGGTTTAAAGGAGAAGGAAGCTGACGTTGGAGAGCTTTTGGAGGAGGACCAATGGAATATGAAAGCAAAAACAGAGGAGCTCAATACTGTTTTAGCCGGTTCAATACAACATGGAGACAACGTGCTAAGATTAAGTGGTTGGTGGATGGGGATGCAAATACCAGATTCTTCCAAGCTTTTGCAAGTGCTAGGAGTAATTTAAACCGCATCCATAATATCAAATATAAACAAGGAGACCTGGTTGAGGATCAATAAGAAATAAAATAAGTATTGTTTCAGCTCTTTAACAACAAATGGGAAGATAGAGATTATATATTGAATGGAAGGCCGGTTCCAATCATTACCTTGGAAGAAGCTGATAGAGAGGTTCTGGAACATAAGGTTTTCAATTGAAGAACTTGAGAAGGTCATTAAGGAGCTTGGAGGTAACATAGCACCGGGCCAAGATGGTATGACTTACTCATTTTTTAACTGCTATGGGAATATCATTAAGGTTGATTTATGGAAAGCCTTGGATCACTTTTTCGTAAGTGGTAAAATGAATGATAGTTGAAAAAACACTATTATTGTATTGATTCCTAAAATTAAGGATCCTACTTCACCTTCCAATTACAGGCCAGTTAGCTTATGTAACTCAGTTTATAAGTTAGTGGCTAAAATTCTCCTTAATAGTCTCTTGTTTGTAATCTAAATTAATATCCAAATAACAAGTGGCTTTCATGAAAGGAAGGTTTCTTTCGGATCATGTTCTTGTAGCTCAAGAAGTTTTTCACAAATTCAGACACTCCAATTCTTCCAAGGGGATGGTCTCTTTCAAGATTGATATGGAGCAAGCCTATGACTCTATGGGTTGGCCAACATTGAATAATGTTCTAAAATATTTTGAATTTCTAGATTTCTATGCTAATCAGATCTTGGAATGTGTTATTGGGCCTAAATTTTCCTTACTTATCAACGGAATCTATTTAAAGTGGATTGATGCTAAATGTGGCTTTCTCCAAGGATGTCCACTTTCCCCTTTTTTATTGGTTTTATGTGCTCAATTACTATCTAATGCATTCTTACAAAGGGGGAATTCAATAGGCATTAGCATCTCTTCGAATAGTCCCAAAGTCTCTCATTTGCTCTATGCCGACAACATTAAGGTTTTCTCTGAAGCTAAATTGGAATCTGTTAAAGTGGTAAAAGGTATTCTTTTGGAATTCTGTGGATGGACGGGTCAAAAAATCAACTTACAAAAAATCTGGAATTCTTTTTGGAAGATCAGTGAGGAAAGGAAGGAGGAAGAAGATTTGTAAAATTATGAAGTTTAGGGAACTTCACGAATTCACTTATCTTGGGACCAAAGTGGCGTTCAGTTCATTATGGAAAAAGTATTGAATAAGCTAATTATATGGGGTGGTAAACTGCTCTCATTAGCTGGAAAAATTTCTTTAGTGAATTCTATTTTACTTGCTTTACCTACTTTTCACACTACTTTGTCATTGGTCCCTAAACAAATTCTGTTCGAAGTTGAAAAGGCATGCAAAAATTTCAGTTGGAGTAAAGGTGATGGAAGTAATGGACTTCATTATGCTAACTGGGACTTATTATGTAAACCAAAGAGTTTGGGGGGCCTCGGTATCAACTCTTGCTTGAAGAAGATAGGGCCTTTAAGGGCCAAGCTAGAATGGAGGTATTGTCAAGAGAAAGAGTCTCTTATGCATAAAGCTTTATTCCCCAAATATGGTCCAATTCCTTTTGAAAATTCAGCAAGGAGAAACGGATCAGTATCATGGAAATTAATTTGCAATGGAGGCAATTTTTTAAAGCCAATAGCCAGATGGAGTATTGGCAATGGGAGTTCAGTCAATGTACTAAAAAATACATGGATCTTTGATAAGAGTTTGATGATTTGGCCAACCTTTATCAATCCTATGTTGGAAGATGATCAATTGGTGGAGAGATTCATAAGAAATGGAGTATGGAACGTTCAAGAGTTTCAGAAATTCTTTGGTAAAGATTTATTGAAGCTGATAACTTCTATGCATATTCATAGAAAGGAAGAAGACCATTTAGAGCTCATTCACAGATTCTCTGGAAAATCATTAACAGCCTTAGCAACTGCAGCAATTGAACCTGTCTACTCTGAAGTAAAAGTTTGGAGGTGGTTTGAGAAATCCAAACTTAGTCCTAGAGTTTATATTTTCTGGTGAACATTATTAAACGAAGCTATTCCTACAAACAAATTCCTGTGTTATAGAAGGCTTTAAGGCTTCGACTTATGTCCTAGAGGATGTGGAATAGTAGAAGACAATGAGCACATAATTTTGGGATGTAATAAATTGCTAGAGGCTGTGGAAGTTTTAAACAAGTGGGGGTTTGGAATTCCTAAATTCAATTTAGTGGAAGAATGCTTTAAATGGCTTGAGGTTCAAAACTCTTGGATGATAAGCCTTTACTGTAATACCATTTATCATTTCTGGAAATCCAAGAATTCTTTTGTACATGAGAAGAAAATTTTAAGTCCAATATTTATAGCTTCTAATGCGTTCTATTTTACTGCTGGGTATTGGAAGTCAAGATGTACAATCTCATGCAACGAGGGCACTATTCAACCATCTAGGTTGCTCAACAATTGTTATCCTCCTTCGTCTGATTGGATCAAAGTCAACATTGATGTTGTAGTTCATAACTCCTATAAGGTCGGAGTAGGAGGAGTTTTTAGAGATCATCTTGAGAGGCTTTTGCTAGCTTTTGGTAAAGATTTTTCGCACTGGGATTCAAGTACCATGGAACTTCAGTCTATCCTATCGCTGAGGAATGTAATAAGAGATTGGATGAAGAACTATAAAGGATTGGTTATTGAAGGTGATAACAAAAATGTTATCAATTTCATCAAGAAGAAGGTGGAAAAAGGAGGTAACGATCCCATAGATTTCTCTTTTATTAAAGATTTCAATTTAGTTTTTTTTAATTTTGTGGATAGAGGTAGCAATAAGTTAGTTGACCTCGGTGCTAACTATGCTTGTTTTAGTTTTTTTATTTGGGAAGATGTGGTGAATAGCAATATACCTCCGACCTTCATTAAATTGTTAATGAAGGAATCAGATGGTATTAGATTGTATTCTCCACTTCTGTCTTTTTCTTAATAAAGCATTTTCATTGCTTTCTTCAAAAAAAAAAAAAATAATAAGACACGTATTTTTTATATCAATTTAAAGATGAAATATATTGAAGCACAATTGATATCAAATCATGACACAATGACAACAAAATATCAACACAAAACCTAAATAAAGGCAAGTACATAAAGCATCTAAAACATCACTAAGATCAGCAAATCTCAAAGGACTAGCAAAGATATCATACAAGAAGTACATCTAGAAATTTGAAGTGCCCTGGTCTAGAGGAGGCTGGTTGAACATAGAAAAATAGTTATTCATCATAGCTACATTGGTGTTTATCGAGTCAAACTAACCTCAAATCCAACCCATGTCCTGCTGGTACTGTGCATCCTGTTGATTTAGGTGAGTTTGAATTTGATCAAAATGACTCTCCAATCAGTCAAAGTACTGGAACATCTCCTTAAAGTAAGGTTCATGAGCAGGTGCTCCCCCTTCTTCCTCAAAATCCTTACTGGTATTTCCATTCTTCCCAAACAGTACTTAAATTAAAGCATTAGTGAAGTATACTAGCATTTCAAGTAGAATCTAAAGATGAACAATATTGTACTTCTTTTCTTAAACATAGATTACAAGATGTCCTAAGGAAATATTCTTCTTCCTCCTTTGAGAAACCGCTCAATTTTAGAAAGTCCATGAATATAATCAAAAATAAGTTAGGCTTCATCTATTAGTTGTCCAGTCATGATAAGATAGGAAACAATGGACATAAGAGGAGTAATGTTTATGCAATCACCAACCTCAGTAATAATTAAAGTTCTAAGGACATGCTGGATGATTCTGTCATTTTGATTCAAAGTATAGACTCTAGGTAAATGACCAACTTGTTCAACCCCTCTAAAATCTTTGTTTATTTTGGACCAGTCAAAATCAAATTTGGAAGTCATTATGTGTACTCTAATCCCTTGAGTTCTAAAATGCAGAAAGGTTCCAAAATCCTTCTTTGTAATTTCTACCCTTTTCCTTAAGACATAAGATCTTATCATACTTTCATCAGAACTAAAAGTCATATTTGCCAGAAAATAGTGAAAGATTTCTCTATGGTAGGCATGAATTAAAGTTAGAATTAAAGCAAATTGAGTGGTGGAAAAAAGAGGCATTACTTGAAAATGAATGTCATCTTGGATCAAAAGTCTAGATTGAGTGATTTAAGCAGAGACAAACCTAAAGTAAGAATCCACATTTTCTTTGGATAGAAAATTTTCATCTACACCCCTTGAAGATGAACCCTTAGTAACTCTACCATGCTTGCTTGAATTGGCCATTGCAAAGTTGAAAATGATTGAAAGGGATCATTGAAGTGAATTAAAATGAATTCTAACTACCTATTTAAAGAAAAACGATCTTTCGTAAGTACAAAAATGGGTTCATACAGTACGATAATTGGATTCGTACATGAATAAAATAATTTCATATATATGATCAAATACATTCAAAATGAAACAACTTTTCATAATCATGCAAGTTATGAAGCATCATTTCGTACAAACGTTTTGACCATACAATCATACAGAGGAACAGGTGTTCGTCTGGGATGATTAGTTATTTAAGATCATTTTAATGACGCATTGGTTTATCCCCCACATTGAATGACACGTGGTTCGTATGTATAAAGTAAATGTTCGTACGTACATTCAATTATAATAACTAATTCTGCCCGTATAACCATCTACATGCATACAGACAAATATATACAGATCATCCGGGATGATATAAATATCATATAATATGATATGTATTAGAAAATAAAAACTTTACACATTCAATCCAAAATAATGATTTATATGCTACAGAATCCGTACGGGACAAAAATAATTTCGTACAACACGAATATGACACTTAGAAAATTTAGCACGAACAATCAGAAATAATAATTTTGATAATTAAAAACATGTCACAAACACACAAAACAAAAAAATTGAAAAAATACTTACACAAATAAGCACATTGAAAACAAAATAGAAAACACACAAAGACACATATAAAGTTTGCAGAAAATTTTAATTAAGCATTAAGATCGATCACACCAAGCCTTGTT